TTACTAAGGCTTTGTAAAAACTGTACTAATATTTCACGTGAGTTTCCTTCTGTGCCTCTGTTTATAAACTAAGGATTGTATAAAAAAGCAGAGCGAGGGCTACCTGTACTTGGCAATATCACCACTGAATCCTGATCCCTAGACAAGTGTTCCTCAACTTTGGCAATTCTAAGATCCTGGCTGGGGAATTCTGGGAGTTGACGTCTGCCCGGGGCCTTCAAGAGAAACACTGCACTAGACTAGGGGTAGGCAACCTTGGCTCTTTTATGACTGGTGGACTCCAACTCCCAGAATTCCTGAGCCAGCCATGCTGAGGGGAAAGGGAGAGGTTTCCAAGCTGAGCCATGCTGGCTCAGGAATTCTGGGAGTTGAAGTCCACAAGTTATGAGGGGGCCATAGTTTCCCCCATGCTGGCTCGGGAATTCTGGGAGTTGAAGTCCACGAGTCATGAGGGGGCCGTAGTTCCCCCATGCTGGCTCGGGAATTCTGGGAGTTGAAGTCCAGGAGTCATGAGGGGGCCATAGTTCCCCCATGCTGGCTGAGGAATTCTGGGAGTTGAAGTCCACGAGTCATGAGGGGGCCGTAGTTCCCCCATGCTGGCTCGGGAATTCTGGGAGTTGAAGTCCAGGAGTCATGAGGGGGCCATAGTTCCCCCATGCTGGCTCGGGAATTCTGGGAGTTGAAGTCCACGAGTCATGAGGGGGCCGTAGTTCCCCCATGCTGGCTCAGGAATTCTGGGAGTTGAAGTCCACCAGTCCTAAAAGAACCAAGGTTGCCTACCCCGCTTGACTAGACTAACAGAAATGCAATTCTTATTTGCCTTTGAAAGGCAGCAGTGACTCAAAAAGCACGTGAAAATTAGCATATGAAAACCCACATTCCTTCCGTCTTTCCCGTAATTCAAATGCAGCATTCTTTTACTCCCACCCTTTGATGTTTTTCTATTCAATTGCATTTCACGTTTTTCAACCACTCAAGAGAGGGACTCTGGGTGGTATAAAACATTAGAATATAAAAAGAATAGGTAAAACTTTTAAATTTTAAAAGGAGGCAAGCAGAGCCGAATGGGAAATCATTTGCTATAAATCTTCGGAAAATTCAAACAAGTATCTTTCCACAGAAAAGAGACTAGCCAAGCAGAAGGGTCTGGAGCTCTACCTTGGTCACCAAATAATCTGGGGATAGAAAAAGTCTTTCATGAGGTGGAGGTTAGTCATATCTGACAAAGATTGAAACCTCCAAGAAAAACAAATCAGGATCTTTTAACTCTTCTAGTATGGAGCCACAAGTCAATGCAGGCAGAAATGGCGCAAACTACAACTTGACAAGACAAGAAAAAAATACCTTGCTTGATAAAATACAAATTCCCACCTTGTTATATTGAACAGTACATTAAGGGCACATCACCGACACAATGTTAAAAAAAAAACACCAAAGTGCTGTTTTTCCTGGAAAAGGTTCTCTCATAAAGTTGAAAAATGAATGCAGTCTTGTCAAATATATATCTATATCTATATATATATATCTATATATCTATATATATATATCTAGATAGACAGAAACAGTGTGTGTGTGTGAGAGAGAGAGAGAGATATGGAGATAGATTAGATGATAGATAGATAGATAGATAGATAGATAGATAGATAGATAGATAGATAGATAGATAGATAGATAGATAGAGATAGATAGATAGATAGATAGATAGATAGATAGATAGATAGATAGATAGATAGATAGATAGATAGATGATAGATCGATCGATCGATCAGCGGTTCTCAACCTTTTTAATGCCGCGACCCCAACCAGTCGTAAGTCGAGGACTTTCCCTGCCCGGGAGTTCCACGCATGCATGGTTCCGCCCCCTGTGCCGGCCGAGGCGTAGCTGGCAAGCGGCAGAGACGGAGCAGGCCGACCACCAGCTGGCCCAGCCCAAGGGAGGTAAGGCACCCGCCGGAAAAGGGGAAAAAAATGGCGGACAAAAGAAATGGCGGACAAAAAAAATGGCAGACAGCCTTGCTTGGTGACCCCCATGAAATGGTCGATCGACCCCAAATGGGGTCCCGACCCACAGATTGAGAACCACTGAGATAGATAGATAGATGGATAGATGGATAGATGGATAGATAGATAGATAGATAGATAGATAGATAGATAGATAGATAGATAGATAGACAGACAGACAGACAGACAGACAGACAGACAGACAGACAGACATAGATAATAGAGATAGATAGACTAGATATAGATATAGATAGATGAGAGAGAGAGAGAGAGATAATGGATGGATGGAAAAGTGGAGATAGAGAGAGGGGGGGGAGGGGTGGATGGATGGATGGATGGATGGATGGATGGATGGAAAGGTGGAGATAGAGATAGATTAGATGATAGATAGACAGACTAGATAGATAGATAGATAGATAGATAGATAGATAGATAGATAGATAGATAGATAGATAGATAGATAGATAGATAGATAGATAGATAGATAGATAGATAGAGATAGAGAGATAGAGAGAGAGAGAGATAGATAGAGAGAGAGATAGATATAGATAGATAGATAGATAGATAGATAGATAGATAGATAGAGAGAGAGAGAGAGAGAGAGAGAGAGAGAGATAAGAGTTTAAATTGAATAAGACTGGGGGGGTGGAACCCTCTCGTATTACTGAATATTAATTTGAAAACTGAGAGAGGGGGAGAGTGCTAGCTTCCGACAGATACTCAAAATAAATTAATCAATAAACATTCCAAATAAATCAATGGGAAAGGCCAGCCGCAAAAAGAGCCAAGGGAACTTATTGCCCGTCCTCCAAGCTGAAAACCCTCCCTAAAAATGACACCAGAGAGAAAAGATCCGAAGCTCTTACTTTGTCAACCCCCATTCGCTTAAAACCTGCTTGTAGCATCTTGAAATTCTGAATGTACTCGTGTTCCAACTTTGCTTGGAATTTCACCTTCTTGAGCGTGATGGAACCTGGGAAGAGCATGTCCATAAACTGACAATAGGCAGCACCTGGCCAGGAGACAGAGAGGGAGAGAGAAACATCTTGGTGATAATTAGATCTTAGCAAACGTATTTAGGGCAAAAGATCAGAATCTCTGCATTCCTTTCCCAGTGGCTGGCTGCCGATCCTGCTTTCTGTGGGAGGCAACGTTGCCGGAGAAACTGGTGGAAGGACCTCGAATCATACAGTTGGGTGGGAAAGAATCTCTGGGAGAAGAAATGCCATTCTTTCGGTCTTCTGCCACTTTTATTTTTTAATCGGCCTCCCTCTTCACGCAGCGGAAAACGAACGAGTTGCAGGCTATTTGAACGGCCGTCTTTTCCCAGCTAAATCTACCCAACCCACCCGAGTGGGCAGACAAAGGATGTTATGGGTCCCCTCTCTTAAGGAGGTCCATCTGGTGGGACCAAGAAGAAGGGCCTTCTTGGTGATGGCTCCTTCTCTGTGGAACATCATCCCCATGGAGATAAAATTGCCTCTGCCTTGACACCCTTTTGAAAGGCCTGAAGACGGGGTTCTGACAGTGGGGGCCCCAGGGGAACGTGGAGAATAGAAATAGAAATAAATAAAAATAGGAATGGAATGGAATAGAATAGAGTAACAGAGTTGGAAGGGACTTTGGAGGTCTTCTAGTCCAACCTCCTACTCAGGCAGGAAACCCTATACCAGTGGTGGCGAACCTATGGCACGTGTCCGTTTCAACCAGCCGCCCGCTAACTCGCCGAGGTCCCACATGGCCGGATGCATCCCAGCACCCATGCGCTCACTGGCCTGTGTGTGCATGGGCCCTGCCTCGCCTTGCGTTGTGACAATGGCACCCCCGCCCTGCCTCCACTTGCCTCGCGAGCCTCCTGCCCACCGCCCCACCTGCCAGAGACCCCCTGGATCTCCCCCAACCCTGCCCGGCTCCCACAGGCGTCCCTCCCCATGAGCAACATCGAGCTGGCCACGTCCACCCTAGCCACACCCATCCAGTCTGCCATGACCACCACAGCCATGCCCACCCAGTGGGCCACGCCCACCTGGCACCCGGCATTAAATAAGTGGGTTTTGGGTTGCAGTTTGGGCACTCGGTCTCTAAAAAGTTTGCCATCACTGCCCTATACCATGTCGGACAAATGGCTGTCCAGTCTCTTCTTAAAAACTTCCAGTGTTGGAGCATTCACCGCTTCTGGAGGCAGGTAGTTCCACTGGTTAATTGTTCTCACTGTCAGGAAGTCTCTCCTTAGTTCCAGGTTGCTTCTCTCCTTGATTAGTTTCCCTCCGTTGCTTCTTGTTCTGCCTTCAGGCGCCTTGGAAAATAGCTTGACTGCCTCTTCTTTGGGGCAGCTCCTGAGATACTGGAAGACTGCTATTATGTCCCCCCTCATCCTTCTCTTCATTAAACTAGACAGACCCAATTCCAGCAACAGTTCTTCATATGTTTTAGCCTCCAGTCCCCTAATCATCTTTGTTGCTCTTCTCTGCACTCTTTCCAGAGTCTCAACATCTTTTTTACATCGGGGTGACCAAAACTGGATGCAGGATTCCAATTGTGGACTTACTAAGGCCTTGTAAAGTGGTATTAATACTTCACGTGATCTTGATTCTGTCCCTCTGTTAATGCAGCCTAGCACTGTGTTGGCCTTTTTGGCACACGGCTGGCTCCTATTTAAGGGATTGTCCACTAGGACTCCCAGATCCCTCTCACAGTTACTACTATTGAGCAAGGTACCCCCTATACAAAAGGTGATTACAAGCGCACATCAGGGATCTGGGCACTCAAATTCAACTGCTGAAAGGAACCAGGAAGGATTCTGAGATAGATTAGCAGCAGCAGCAGCAGCAGCAGCAGCAGATAAAAAAGTCCATCTCAAACTCTTCCAAGCCAAGCATCGGGTTTTGCAATTCAAGCTGTTTGGAGCCTGCTGGAAGAGTTTTTATCTTAAAACGCTTACAAAGTGCTTGGAACAGCAAGGGTGGAACTCGAAACACAAGCTGCACCAGGAGGCAGTTCCAACCAGGCTCCACACCCATTTGCCCTCCGATTCAGGAGACCCTGGGGGCACAGGTGAACCTCCAGGCGGCCTCAACGGCTCTCCGAAAGAAGGCAAAGGACCAGCCGTCTGCAAGGAGTATAAATCCTTCCCTTCCCCCACCATCCAGTCAGAACCTGAAGAAGCTTCTGGGACGAGAAGCAAAACCTCTTCAAAGGAAAACAAGAAAGTCCAGTGGCCTCCTGAAAAAAGAAGCACCTTTGGGACAACTGAGGATACAAACGAACCTCCAGGCGGCCTCAACGACTCTCTAAAAAAAAAATGCAAAAATGACCAGCTGTCTGCAAGGAGTATAAATCCTTCCCTTCCCCCCCCACCATTCAGTCAGAACCTGAAGAAGCTTCTGGGACGAGAAGCGAAACGTCTTCAAAGGAAAAACAAGGAAGTCCCGTTGCCTCTTGAAAAAAAAAAAAAACACCTTGGGGACAACCAGGATCCTGGAGGATCTCCATCGACACTTATCTGCACCGATTCACTGGCCAAAAAAAAAAAAAAAAAATTGAAGAATCAGGTGTGACCCACTTAGCAACACGAAAGTCTGGTCCAGCTGCCTCGTGTAAAAGCACCTCTGGGACAGCCAAGAGCCTGGAGGAGAGGACAGTCTCTAAGGATGCCTTCGCTGAAAAAAGTGCTCAAAAGAGTTTAACGACCGTGGCAAGGACGGTCGTAAAAAATGGGGCAAAACTCACTGAACGTTTTGCTTCGCAAAGGAAAGTTGGGGCTCCGTCGTCGAGGATCCTATTTGCCATATATTTTAAAACCGCAGATAAAAAAAGTCTGCCAGGCTACTGTCGCTCCTGCAGACGCATTTCCTCCGAGGCTTAATCACGAGGAAGGAGTCTCCGTCAGCAGGACAAATACGAACGGCCTTCCACCGGGACCGGTGTCTAATCTTCAAAACAAAGAGCTCCTACAGCCTTTTCTTCTGCCTAGTCTGATATTCTATTTTATGTAGTTTTTAAGTGGCAAATACTGTATTCAGGTACAGGAGAGAAATGAGAAGTGCAGAGAAGAGCAACAAAGATGATCAGAGGACTGGAGGCTAAAACCTACGAAGAACGGTTGCAGGAATTGGTTATGTCTAGCTTAACGAAGGTTACCTGCCTGAGCAGGGGGTTGGAGTTGATGACCTCCAAGGTCCCTTCCAACTTTATTATTATTATTATAAGGACATAATAGCAGTACTCCAGTATTTGAGGGGCTGCCCCAAAGAAGAGGGAGTCAAGCTATTCTCCAAAGCCCCTGCAGGCAGGACAAGGAGCAACGGAGGGAAACGAATCAAGGAGAGAAGCAACCTAGAACTAAGGAGAAATTTCCTGACAGTTAGAACAATTAACCAGTGGAACAACCTGCCTCCAGAAGTTGTGGGTCCTCCATCACTGGAGGCTTTTAAGAAGACATTACACACCCATTTGTCTGAAATGGCATAGGGTTTTGTACTTGAGCAGGAGGTGGCACTAGAAGGCCTCCCTTCCAACGGTGTTATTTTGTTTAAAGTACTGCAGACAAACTCTGCCCGCAGTCTGGAGTTTGATCCCAATCGGCCCAAGGTTGACTCAGCCTTCCATCATTCCCAGGTGGGTAAAATGAGGACCCAGATTGTTGGGGGCAAATAGGTTGAAAACTGCCCAGAGAGTGCCATAAAGCACTATGAAGCAGTATATAAGTCTAACTGCTATTGCTATTCAGCTCTGCACCATTTTGCCCCTATGAGACATTTCAAGATACATCTAACACAGGGGTCTTCAAACTTGGCCCTTTGATGACTTGCGGACTTCAACTCCCAGAATTCCTCAGCCAGGCACATGTGCCTGGCTGAGGAATTCTGGGAGTTGAAGTCCGCAAGTCATCAAAGGGCCAAGTTTGAAGACCCCTGATCTAACACCACAGAACTGAATGGAACCTTAAGACCCACTTAAGATACACAAATACAGACACACACAATCTGAAAAGTCATGCAGGTAGAATCTCCTTCTACCCCCCCCCCCCAAGGAGGGTAAAAAAAAACATGTTCCAAGCAGTAAGTTCACGTTTGATCCAGTGATGCAAAGGCAGTACACTTTCTATGTCGCCTTTGGCGAGATGGATAGCATGTAAGTTTGATTAAAAAAATAAATAAAATAAAATTACACTTAAGGCACAAGGCAGGCACCCACCCACCAGAGCGAGCCCACTGCTGTTTCCAACTACTTAAAAAGAGAAATAGTAACAAGCCAAGGCCTCAGACCAAGACGGAGTTGTGGCGTCAGGGGTTCCTTACCTGAACAAAGTTGCTCTATCTTGGTGAAAGTTAGTTGTAACGACTCGTTGATCCAGGCTAGCATGTCATGTCGGCTTAAGTTGTCGCTCGTCACGGAGGTGGAATACACGTTTACGGCCATTTTCTAAGAGAAAATCGAGGGAGAAAGCCCAGTTGGCAGAAATTATGTCCTTCACGTGAAGCCGGCACCGAGTTCAAGTCTGCGCGGTCCGATCTGTTCCGAGACATCATCTGAACCACCATCTATTTAGGGCAGAGGTCCCCAACCTTTGGGGCCCCAGGGACCGGTTCCTTGGAGAGAGGTTTTTCCGTGGACCGGAGGGTACGTGGTTTCGTGGGCTGCCTGCCTCCTGTGGAGGGGGCTTTGCTTATTTGTGCGGACCGGTTGCTGGTATGCTGCGGCCCGGTACCGGTCCACGGACTGGGGGTTGGGGACCCCTGAACTAGGGCACTCCTTAAGTACCGGAGAGAGTTGTAGCTGAAGTGTTCTTCAACTATGGCAACTTTTAAGATAGGTGGACTTCAATTCTCAGTTCCCAGGATTGCCCCGCCAGCATTCATACAGCTAAAACGTTGACTCCATTCTAAGCACACACACACACCTTATACCAGGGGCCTTTAAACCTGGCCCTTTGATGACTTGTGGATTTCAACTCCCAGAATTCCCCAGCCAGTTTTGCTTTGCTGGCTGGAGAATTCTGGGAGTCGAAGTCCACCCCTCTTCAAGTGGACAAGGCTGAGAAACGCTGCATATGGCTAAACCAGGGGTCTTCAAACTTGGCCCTTTTATGACTGGTGGACTTCAACTCCCAGAATTCCTCAGCCAGGCACACGTGCCTGGCTGAGGAATTCTGGGAGTTGAAGTCCACCAGTCATCAAAGGGCCAAGTTTGAAGACCCCTGCCTTATACCTACTATTGTAGGTATAATGGCCTACCAGAAAAGATGGAGAAAACAGACTCATTAACAGCCGACTGACCTAACTTTTCTGTTATGTAAGGAGATTTCGCTCCCTTGCGTAGAAATTGTTCTCGCCCAGAGTTGTTTTCACACACAAAAAAAGGAACTGACAAATGGATCCAAGATTCAACACTGTTAGACCCAAAGGACTAGGAAATTAGTTAAGGGGGAGGAAGGAAAAAAGAAAGTTAATGGGCTCAGATTGAAGGTAACTAACTCGATTTAGTGACCGTTCAGTTACAACGGCACTGAAAAAAAGCATCTTACGACCATTTTTCAATTAGGACCACTGCGGCATCTCCATAGTCACACGATTTTATTTCTGATGCTTGGCCACGGACTCGCATTTATGATGGTCACAGTGGCCCGGGGTCACGTGACCGCCTTTTCTGACAAAAGCAAAATCAATGGGAGGAGCCTGGTTCACTTAACAACTGCATTCTTCGCTTAATAGCTGCAGGGATTCACTGAACTGGGGCAAGGAAGGTCGTAAAAGGGTGCAAAAACTCACTTAACAAGCGTCTCGGTTCTGGTCGTAAGTTGAAGATTATGGGCATAGGATGAAAGTTTGGGTTTTAAGAAGCGAGGATTCCACAGAACAGAGGTCATGGCCATCAAAATGGAGGGAGCAGTGATGGCTGACGACAGAGATTAAGGAGAATATTTGAAGCTCAGGGTTGAAATGAAGTTTCCTTTTTGCTCTCTTGCAGACCTTTCAGGACCAAACTAGGTAAGATCATCAGTGCTACTGGAGTAGGGAGTGGGATTCGCTCTCATTTTTACAAATGCAAGAAACCCACCACGCTCAGAGAGCACCAAGGAGCCCACAGGCCACCTCCAACCTCCACTCCCTTCTAGAACTGATGTTACTTAGCTAGGTAACAAAACGTCTGCGAGAAAACCGCCAAGCTCAGAGAGCACCAAGGACCCCTCACAGTTAAGAGATTATTGGAGACAGAAGCCAGAGGAGGAAATAATTTCAGCATCAACCACTGTAGCAGGGGTGTCAAAGTGCCGGCCCGATGAACGGATGCGTCAAGCCGAAACCGCACCTACCCCGTGGCCGGCAATGGGGAACAAAATCACGATACGTCACGTGACATTGCGAGTGTGACACCCCTGCTGTACAGAGAGCAGCAGCTCAAGGTATTGTCATCAGAATGGGGGCACAGACTACCTACGGAACTACTACATCAGCCTATCCCACCCAGTCAGGGAGGGAGGGTGGGCACGCTGCAGACCCCATCAGCTGAAGATCTCCCATTGGCAGGGTCCAGAAAGAGAGCAATGTAGGGCTGTGAAAGTTGGACCATAAGAA